GGAAGAGCGCGGTGGAACTGCTCCAGGAGACGAAGGCGTTCTACGTGAAGAGCGAGACCGTGCTGGACCGGAAGCAGGAGCTGAAGAACAGCGGTCATCTTCAGGTGTCGCAGCTGAGCGCTCCGAGCGCGCCACCTAGGCTGCTGAGAAAATGCGGGAACACGTCGACCTGTCCGATGCAACCGACGTCGCCGTCGCAGCTGCCACCTGCTTCGATGACGCCACCATGTTGCTGGGCATCGTGCCACGAGCAGGACAGGCGTAAGTCTCTTGGAAAACTTTCCGATGCCTACACGCCTCTTTCTTTTTTCCTTTCCGACCGCCTGGGATCGATTTAACGCGCATGGCCATTTAAAACAGTCGTCTACTCGCGTGTATACGCCTATACGAGCTTCCCTGTTCATTGGCGGGCAACCTGCCATCCACGAGATAGCTGTAAGTGGTCGTCTGAGTACTTTCCAAAGCTCCTTTCGTTCTTTGTCCGCGGATGTAGCTGGACAGGAATCGGTAGCGAGTTTGGCTTGCCTGTTTATGGGGTACTCGTGGAATTTCGATGATCGTTAATAACACGTTTGTTCTTTTCCATTCCATTTACCGGATTCAGATGCTGCTCCGTAGTAGATGCAGAATTTGTTGATCAAAAATATCGGAAATATTTTGATTTTTATAATATGTAGCGAAGATTCATATTTTTCGTATGGGATGGAAAAGGGCTCGATAACCAACCATGGGTTAATCCTGTCGCTATAAGGGATGATGGAGAAATAGCTAATGTTTATACGGTGGGTTAGGTAGTTTGCAAGTGTATACTTTGTAATCGATAGAGATAAGGTAGACTTACGATATTCGTTGTTCTTGGAGAAAGGATTAACATAATCTAGTAGATTATACGATCATCTCTACTCTTAAATTTCAGAAGTCTCTATTTTAATCGATCCCTGAACATTGTTTTCCTCGTTGTTAAAAATACCTTCTGTAAAATTCGAATAAAATTAACGAATGATTCGAGATCTATCTTATGTTATAATAGAGATGTTCCTCTTGACAGAAATTAATTAACAGCTTATTCGTGGGTATCGATGCCTATTGTAGATGTTAATATCATTTGGGAGTCTTGACGAGTTGATGTCTTAGTATTCAGACGATTAGGACATTTCCTGACGTTGGAGGCTCTCCATGGATTAAATGATTGCGCGTTTTTACTTAATCCTTTGCGGTCGAAGGCTGTGGTATTCTTAGCAGCATACTTTTACCGTTTCGGTCGCGCGCCGGGAAATGAACGACTCGTTTGCCGTCAGCGGTTTTGTTTAACGCAGGTGTACGAGCGAGGTACTCGTTGCATCAACCTTTGAAATTGCAAAGTATGTCTCATTATTTTCCTCGCTAGGGAATTTCACCCGTTCTCCCGGGTAATCTTCGTAAAATTCAATTTGTTCCTGTAATTATCGCGTTACGAAATTTTTCAAGCAGATTAGAAGCGAAATTGGACGTCGTTGCGAAAAGCAATTTTAATCAAATTTTTTCCAACAGGGCAATTACGTTCTATTTACAAATTATCTTCAATAAATCTCTACATTTTTCTGATTTTATCCCGTTTCTCGATTTCTTTCTGCTTGATAATTTAGATTTTATTTTTCGAAAGAAAAGAAAAAGTTTCAAAAATATCTTAAAGCGTGAAAGAGGAAAGCAAGCACTGTTCCTTCTCGTTAAATCCACTCTACACCCTACCGTTAAGTGATTACCCCTTGTAGATTGCTTTCAACGCGACATATGATATTCCTACGTCCAAACTCGTTACTTCCAACAGACCAATTTCGTCCAGGTAGCGTATTTCACTGCCGGAACCTCAAAAAAGAAGATTACGCATTCCCATGCGAATTACTTCCACGTGAGGAAAGCTGCACCGAATATCATGCTAAGAGACTATTAGGCATGTTTCTAGAGGCGTTTATGGACTCGCAGACATTGTCTGCGGATAGTATGCATGAGTTGTCCACGGATATTATATCGCACGGCGCGTGGTATATTGTATGTCTGCGCCTTATAAAATTTCGTAGAGATACAGGTGTATCGCTGACCGGAGAATTTTTGACCTATAGGTTTTGATATAAAAATTAAAAATTCGGACTTTGACTTAATGATACATGACTTCCTACATCTCCGATTTTAGACATCTATACTTTAGAATCTGTTCTGCCAAAGCATCGAATATTCTGTTCACAGTTACCAATGCAGAACAGAGCAACTCCTATAGACCCTCAATTCATATTACAAAATTATCAGCAAACCTCATAGGAATAAGTAATCTCGCCATACGAAACTAATCATGGTAGTCTGCAGACTGAAAAATCTTTGCTACACGTGTCTACAGACAAGGTCCATAAATCCCTCCACGCCCCTTTGCATACATTGTCTACAGACGTGTTCGCGTACAAGGTCCATGGATGTCCGCTGACACAACAATGCGACACGCGATATAACAATCCGCATACGATATCCACGGACAACGTACGCAGACTGTTCGTGGACAATGTCTGTAAGTTTGTACACGCCTTAAGCCGCGTTTCGCCTCTATCCAACAGCGGACGGAATTCTGAGTCCTCAACAAACACTGCCATCCGCACTGCCACCGAAGAGTCCGCGCCTGGTTCCTGTTCCGCAGCGCCGCACGATTTCAGGGCCACCGAGTAGCACCGGTGGAGATCAGCTGCAGACGAAATTACGTCGATTGCTGAACACCGATAGCAAGGAGAACGTCTTTTTCCCGGACAGCCCGACGCAAACGATCGTCCAGGCGAATGGCATCCCTCAAGAAGAAAAATTCCGATACTCTCCTGGAAGCCTGTCGCCTAACTTCCGTGAGGAGGATCGCGTGAAGGTGAAGTATCAGTGATTTCATAAATCTTAGAAATACCTAACTCGATAGCTTTCTTTCATTTTCTGCTTCCTTCGTGCTTTTGTGACACGAGATTGATTTGCAGTCTGGGATAATCTTTGGTATGATTTTAGATCGGTGTTATGCATATTGTTCGTGTTCGAAAGAAGATCGACATGAGTCGTAATTGGGTGATTTGTACCTTCATTTTCGTGTTAAATGTTTTATCGATGTCTATTTCTGTTTCTTATATCTCGTTGTTTCCTCCATTTTTGTGGAACGAGATTGGTCGTGATCTTGTGGTCTGGAATAATTTCCGTGTGTTGTTAATTTGGTGTTATAATTATTGTTCATGTTTGAAAAATGTCGCAATGAGCTGTGATTAGATATTGTCGTTTACCTTCATTTTTCGTGTTGGATGTTTCTTTGTAGAGTATACTTTGGTGTCTCATTTTTGTGAAATGAGATTGGTATTAAAATCTTGCAGTCTGATGTTAGCTTCGTAGTTGTTTTCAGTTTGATTTATCGATTGGTAGATAAAACGAAGTCACCTGTGAATTTGATTGTTATTATATGACGGGCCTCGTTCGATGAGATTACGTATGCAGTCCCCTTTGAATCCCCTAGATGTCACAACGTTGAGACTGTTCCAAAATAAGGCATCGCCTATCCCATCTATTTCCATTCATGTTCTTTGCCTTTATTTTTTAGAGTTTCACCTGAAAATTTGTGTTCTTTTTGTGTTCTTGTGTTATTTGAGTAGGATGTAATGTCTTTGAACGTGGCCCTTGCTATATGTCATTACAATCTTGTATTTTTTTTCTTAATTTTTACTAGATTTTGCCTAATTTTTCCATTTCATTTATTCGTTTTCTTTTCGGTATTTTCCAAGCTTCACCTCCGTTCACTGAACGATTTATTTTCATATACACTCTTTTGCACGTGTAACATCTCAATACTTCAGGTATATCTTGTATATACTCCACGTGTAACCTGCAGGATACAACAAAAGGGTAGAAAGACAAAGAACGTGAACGGAAATAGGCGGGATAGACGATTCTTTGTTTTAAAACACTCTTAACGTGACATCTAGCGGGCTGAAATGGGACTACACCTCTGATCTTGAGAACGACGCCTAAAGTGTACTATATATTGTTTATGTTTGAAACATCGACGTGAGTTACGATTATTATATACCTTCATTGTTGTGTCAGTTGTTTTATCACTGTTTATTTTCGTTTTCATATAAAGTTGTAATGATTTTACCTCGATGCAATGCACACAGTACCTATTTAAAAGAAAATCATTAGAAACGATTCTAAATTTTTTTTAATAAGAAAATATTTTCTTACTGCGAGTGTAATAATTTTGTTGTATATTTTATGCCGTGCATTTTTATATGCTATTGTTGGAAAAATTGGAGTTACTGCTTCACGTCCGTTAGTACGTTTGCTGCTGATGAAATTACATTATTTACGTGGCAGATCTAATAAACCGATGTGAAACTGTAAACGAAAAAGTGCTATTAATAATCCTGTTACGCTGTTCCTGTTATATTATGATAAATAACTGGTTTTTAACTTGACATAACAAGCAGCTGGAAATTCTGTATTTCATACCTTTCTGTTAACAGCAGCAGCCTATGACAATCAGCTTTAGACTTAGTCCTTTTCAAGCAGCTTACAGCTTACAGGAAACGAACCGACAGCTGCCCCTGAAAATGTTAATTTTATTCTTAGTATACTTGTTCCGTAGAATTAACTATTTTGCATAAGAAATTATTAAAAAATAATTTTAATTGAATGTAAAAAATAACAAATATATTTATATATTCTTTATAAATACACGTATTGTATTTAACTATGCAATTGACACCTTTTGCTGTAATGGAAGTGTCTTAAATGCTTTGAACAGCGTTTCGCAATTCATCGCCAATATGTAGTGTTATTGTCCTTTGTACGTTTTATCCGTGAATACGTATGCACGTTTCCTCGTGATGAATCGTAATTGTCAAAGTGTCGGAGACAGGAAATGGAGTTAGGAACCGGAAGTTGTACGTACACGTGTTCGCGAGTTAAACACGGAAGACATATTCCTCCACTGTTTTATTAAACACGTGCACAGCATGAATGATGAAACTGTCCTGGAATTAGTACGAAATTCGTATTGATCGCTTCGATAAATTTCAGTCGCCATGTTGAAGTCAAGGACTTCATATAGTCAAGACTGTATATAATTAAGGTTCCAGAGTTTAACCATTAACTTCATTCAGGAAGAAGAAAACATTTCATAATCTATAAACCATGTTACTTATGATCTATTTTACGACCAGGGTTGACCATCAGGTTTAACATGGAATCCTTTCTTTAGTCCACATGCTCCACATACTTGAAGAATTTTTTAAAGAACTTTGCGAGTGTATAGAAAATTCCACACTCTTATGACTAATAGTAGCCATACTTAAAATTTAAAATATAAAAAATATTTAAAATATATACTGCAAAAAGGTTCACAAAAAAATGAAATTCATAATAAAGAATTCCATTTTTTAAATGGAAAAACTGTTGCAATTTATCTGTTTTAACCCCTCCACATCTTTCACTTTAAATTGATTAAAGTTATTGCACACAATTATAACTACTCGAAAATTAAACTAACTTAATGTATAACATTTTCAATCAGAAATATCTAAATGTTTATCCTACCGTTTATCCCACAGTTCCAAACTAAATTGCTAAATTGAAAATCCCAAACTTACAGACCAAGTATATATACGTGTTTTATATGATGTAGTATGAAGACATACTAAAGTCTATTTTCATCATTACAGCATTGTACACAAGATGTTCGCTTCAAGTTTGGCCGGAGCAACTCGCACTCGCATACATCCGGAAGAACAGGAAGGAAGTCCACCAGCTCACAGTCGGTGGAGAATACCGTCTGTCACAAATCTTTGCCTGACCTCCATACTAGCACGCGACGACCGGCATCTCTGTCGCCACGTGCATCGACCAAGTCATCTAAGCCATCCGGTCATCATCAATCCTCGAGCAATTATCCAGATTGTGAAACTAGTTCGGACTATTCAGTGCATAGTTTTCAACGCGACGTAATGTGTTGTCGCAGGTATTGAAAACATTTCCGCATCTGTGTCCCGTGAGTTATATTCGTAGGGTGCACCAGACGTTTGAGACATTTTTTATTTATCACCTTATGGTTAAATATGATATCATTTTCGGGAGCATATGCAGAGCCGTTTAAAAAGATTTCCAATCTTTGAAAAATATAGTCATTTGTAAACGCTGGTGCTAATAATTTAGCTGTTCAATTATTTTAAGAATTATTTTGAACATGGATACAGTCTTGACTTTAATTTCAATTCGAAAATTTTGAATTTGTTCCTTTTCATCGTATTATCTAAAGCTTTGATAGTTGTACATTTTGAATTCTGAAATTTAGACTTTAAATATTAGAGGAATTTAGTAGTAGAATGTTTCGCATAGTGCGTTTTATAATTATAAGGTACAAGATTATTACTCTCATGTAAGTTATTACTATTCCAGTTTTAGACACATCAGACATTCGTTAGGTTCAGTTGGTAGTGGTGCTAGTAGCGTGTTATCTGCCGGTGGACGAACGCAGAAGTCATCAGGTTCTAGCAAGTTAAGCCATGGGGCAACTCCGAGAGATTCTGGTGGATCGTCTGGACACTGTACACCTCGTAGTGAACCTCCTCCTGTAATACAGGTATAATCGAAATTAAAAGATGTGTCGTAACGTTAAGTGGAAACCGCTATTCACCGAGTAAAATATTTTCCTTCAGGATTGTTGGAGTCATATGCGCCGTGACAGCGGTGCATCTACTCAACACTCGACGGAAAAAGATCGTTTAAGAAGAGGTAGTTACGTTAACGGTACCCCACCATCTGTTGTAAGACTCTACAGTCCGGATTCTGAGAGCAGCAACAGTCAGACGGATTATAGCCCGACATGCAATTCAAGGTACATGCTGAAATTTGGACAAATTCATGCAACCATCAAAGAAGATCAAAGATATTTTATGTAAAGAAAGTTCAAATAATTTTTACGAACGAATACGTTGAAGGGAGCGTTAAGAAATTAAAAAAATAATTTACTTACGTTATTTAACGTGAGTTCAAAAATATCTTCCATCCTTCAAACGTTTAAATATTTGTTCATATCTTATGGTTTTAATATTGATTTGTAAGTAATTATCGTTTCTTGATTTGTAGGTTTTCTGACGGCTGGAAAGAAGGTCGCGGACGACCAATTCTAAGATCTAAATCAGACATTAGCGATCGTTATTGGCGTCAGGATAATGGTCGATCCAATAAAGTACCTGCACGACCCCCTCGGTCGATCACTCAGCTCGAAAATTTCTTCGACTGTTTAGGTCTCGATTCGGACAATTATCAGCGTATCACGAAACCAGATTCAAAATCGTCGTCTCCTGTATTTTTCGATAGCGTTAGCTCAGTCGATTCAGCGGGAGGTCTATACTCTTGGGCTGGTAATAACCAAACGAATCACAGTAGTCAATGGCAGAACAATGATGGTAATGTCGGTATGGGTAACGACGACTCTAACCAGAGGGTTAATGACCCACCGAGCATCGTGGAGCGTAATGCTCGAATAATTAAATGGCTCTGTCAGTGCCGAAAAGTGCAGTTTGGATTTAGTTAAGCGATGAGTTTTGGAAGAGGACAATCGATTCTTCAGTCTCAATAACACGCATTCAAGTCAACGAAAGTAGAGTTTCTCATCTTGCCAGCGATTTATCTTTTCACATATCGCAGAAATCTTTGCTTTAAGTTTGCTACAAAATAGCACGAACACGAGCAAAAATATTTTTCCTGCTTTTCTCCAGTTACTAATGCTACAGTGGTAGCATGTTAATTTATCCTTTTTTCTCTCTTCTTAATTCCACAAGCATATGTGCCATCTACTTATATAACTTGTTGTGCATTTGTGTTGAATCTTTAAATCATCCTTGAAGCTCTTTGATGTAACATTCTGTTTTTAATGATGTGTTTTTGTCAAAATTTGTATATATATCGTAGAGAGTAGGAACGGTCGATTATTTTTTTACGTGTAGCTGTTACACGCGCGGAGCTTTTTGCTTATTTAGTTTTGTTTTTAGCCAATCGATTTATCGTCGCATGTTAGTTCTATTAAATTTACAACGAGTTTATGATTACAAGAATCAACTATTTTTAGTGTTTTTCCCACATTGTTGTGGTTTATTGGTCAAGGGAGTTATGTATAAAAAATATGAAGTTTATTGCACTGTTTTGCCTTAAAATTAAGTCGTACATTAGCCGTTGCCAAATTTAATTGTTATAGCTTTTCTTACGAAAATGTCGGCGAAAAATCCACATTTTTATTAGTATTCTGTATTAGGAAGAAAATATTTGTTTCATCGCATCGTTATTTTGTCACACATCTTATTCGACAATGAAGACATTAGTTCTCCAGTAATTTGATATTGAATGCTAACTGAAGATATGATTCGGTCATTCTGGTTAAGTAGGAATTGAAATGATGATATTACAGTTACGTCGAAAATTCAAGTTTTTATCTTACAATGCAGAGAATACTTACTGTGTTTCTGGTAGAATTATTATTATAGTAGAACCAATTCAATCTTATTAATGTTTTTGCTAATTCTAGGTTGTTATATTAATCTGTATTGAGCTGCATTGTAGATGACATATTGGTACAAAACAAAACTGTATGTGATTTATAGAATTTTTAAGGACTTTTCTCTGTAAAACTTTTCGCCAATGGAATTTGTATAAAGAATTTCATAGAATTTTCATGTTGATGTTTTTATATCCTATAAGTCTTGTTAGATGAAATTATGTTTGATCGTTACGAAATTAGTTTATATGTAATATATTTCAAAATTCTCCTAACTTTGGAAATAATATTTGGAATTAAAAAATTGATCTTGTTTATATGATGTAATTCGTTCGACTTTTAAAGGTTAATTGAAATTAAAAGTTTTAAATACCGAAACGTTTCATTGTATACACGGTATTTGATTTATTATAAGTATCTACTTTGTGCCTAAAAGAAATTAAGAAACCTTATTTTACTAAAAAAAAAAATTATTCCAATTGTTTGATATATCTACATGTATGTTCAATATTTTATTAATGAAGTTTTTGATTGAAGTGTGTGTATTTTATAAAATTTAAGATTATCGTTTAAGTATTAAAAAAAAAACGATAAAATCAGTATCTTATATTTTAGAAGATTTAAATTAAACACAATCTCTAAAATAACACGACATAATTATTAAAGCCTGTAATTACTAAGAAAAATGTATTATTCATTTATTGCTTAAAATGTCTCCTGATATATTTCACTGTGCAATAATATGAATAATTCACTTCAATGTTTCTTATTTTAGGTGATATCTAGTAGCTCATAATGTTTAAAATATTTTAACTACTGTGTGGCAATCAATTAAAGATATATTAATTATGACTTTGAATGTTTGTAATGGATGAAAATTGTTAATTACATGATTCGAGTATTTTAACACAAAGCAAAAAAGAAAGAAAAAGAATTTATGTAATATAATACAAGAAGTTACTCAACTACTCTCATTTCAAGTGATATAGATGTTTTAGATAATTAGCGAGTTTGTATAGATTGTAAGTAAAACGTGGTAGTGCATTGCATTTAAAATGGAGAAAAAAGAAGAGTTGATATTACTACCCATCTAGTAAAACCCTGCATTTTTTCAAGCAAATGTAAAGTGATGCTTGTATCAAATATTAGATGTTTCTGTAGTTACATAACCAGTATTTACTACAATTATTTACTTACAGTTTTTGAGGAAATTATTATAAAGAATGTAATCGAAATTACAAGGACTGCTTTGACAGCCTTGGATAAAGTGTTATTGCACAAAAATTGAGCATAGAATATATATGCTTACAAGAAGCATTTTGCTTATAACTTTTTGAGCTAAAGCACTGTTTAATGTATGTATATTAATGATGTTTGGTGGTATTTAATTACCTGAAAGTTTTTATTCCCAAAATTAAAATTCTTGCCTTGTAACAAAAAAGAAAAAAAGAATTCATAATATATTTTTGTTAGTTGTAATGACTCACATCTTGGTTAATAATCTTATTATAAAATGTTTGAAAATAAAACTTTTAAATCTAGTTGAACTTAGTTATTGTAGGGTGTAGAGAGTATAGTGTTAAATATCCACAACATTATTTTCAAAAAGTTTTAAGCAAATTAATTAAATTAATACTATATATTACTTCTTGAGAGTACAAGCACAAGGTGTGTTCTATTTCTACTCTATTAAAGTTTAAGCCCTACAGTTTACGAAGGAAGCGTTTGTTTAAATGTACTTGAAATCTATTTACATTTAAATTCTTTTCTAGATGTTTAAGAATTTTATTACTTATCATGGTAGAAATATACATTCCACTTCTTTATATGTGTATATGAATCTCAAGAAGTAAAAGAATAATATAAGTTTTTATTATTTTTTCGGTAGAATTATGTTTCCTACATTGACATTAATTTGTTAACATAATTGAAGGAATTTGTATAACATTATATTGCAATTCGTTTTAAGTTATAGATTATGTAATTCATGTACTTGTATAGTATCGCGTTATTTTTATTATCTTCTTAAATTGAGGCTTAGAGAGTTCTTTAATATTAAGTAAATTTGTTGGAACCTATTTTGTAATTCTAAATCCAAATGTATACTTAAAATGTGAAACTTAAGTATGTATATGTGCATAATTTGTGATCCATAATACTTAACATTGTTAAAGTCTTACATTTTTAATTGATTTTTTTATAATCTAGTCACGTAGATCAAAATGTGTTAAATTTCAAGATAATATTATTAAATTCCTTCTCTGTATTGCTGGTAATTTTATTTTCACCCGATATTTATGTGAAATATCTATATCAAAATTTGTTATATCCTTTTAGATGTAGGTGAACTTTTCCCAAAAACTGAAGAGTTGGGTAGAGCAAAATCTAACTGTCCAAGTAGGTAAAATTTTAAATTAAACAGTTTAAAAACAAATGATCGATGAACGATGAAGAAAAATATTTACAGTTAAAATAAAATTTGAAAAAGGCATTAAAAGTTGGGTTAGATTATGATATCACGTCATGATATCGGTTTTCATTACCTTAATATTGAAAAAGATCGTGGAAGAACCCAAATACAATTCAAAAGGTCGTTCGATGAATTCAAATCTAACATAGATGGCAATCTTGTCGAAAATTAGGACGTCACGTCGACCATGATGTTCAGGGAGTGCATGCGCAACAACGAGCTGCGCCTTTGCAGGCTGTGCTCGTCAGTCAGTCTTACGGACGCGCGATTCACGTTTGACACGTAGTTTCGGATGCGTGAACCGACCGAAATCGTCGATGGTCGTATGTTTAATGGTGATACTTGACGAAAGAACCACAATTCGTATGCGGTCGACTGGTGTCTCGTGGTGTGACGCTTTCTGGTAAGATCGTAGTGGCACGTTTCGCTATGTCGCAAGTGCTTTGGCCGCAAGAGGCGCAGTGACGACTCGCCCGTGAGCCTGCCGACATCCTCGACAGCCCTGCGATGGAGTCGATCAGAAAATGGTTCTATAGGCCTAAGGTAAGCCTCTTTAGTTCTTTCGTACCGCTTCCTTTGGCTTCATCTTTCTTTATATTTTTCGACTTGTTGTGCTCTTTCGTCTCTTTTTCACCATCATTGTACGTTTCTTATCATACTGGCTAGTTGATCGAACGCGTGTGCTCGTTCTTTTTTCTTCGTCCCTCGTCCCTGTCTGTGTGTTGGACCTGCGCGCTGTTGCCACCTGTTTCGTGAAAATTCGCACGATATCCCGAAGTGCTTCGGGCGACGTGTTACACCTGCGTGATATACGTGTACGTACTTCATTGATACGCACACGGCTACCAGTCGTCCTTGTTTACAGTTTGACATTTCCATTTTTCTGAAATTATCGTGATTTATATACACTCGAATATATCTCCTAATCGAAATTGCAAGTAACGATCATGGAACATGGCTTAATCAGCTGATACGTAATAGGACCTAGTGGTTTTTAATTTTCCTATGCAGGATGACCTCGGTGATTCATCCCGCTTCAAAGATACTTTCTTTTAGCTTATTTTATCTAAAAATGCACGGAAGAAATACAGAAAAATTATTTTATTCGAAAATAATACTAATTCCCCATAAAGAAATACATAGCCCTATTTTTCTCAACATTCCTAGTGATTACATAGGTATTTTATGTTTATATCACATTTCGGTGTTATTTCCTATTTACCCAGTTACTTTCTCTTTCGTTGTCGATAACCTACATCTAAAATCACATGACGCTAGCATCTGTCGCGCTTAACCTCAATAGCTGGGATTGTTGGATCTCGGACAGTGATTTTTCGAAAATCATTCTTCCTCGTTTCTTTCTAAAAGTTGTAACGATGTATTTAGAAGCACATTTCGTCCATTAATTAATGCATCGTGCGTTTCTGTCGGATAGAAATATTCGTCGATGTCATCCATTCTTTGCACGTATCAGGAAAAGATTTTCTGTCCCCGTCGGTCGGCTGCGTTTGTCGCCAGCTTTCGAAGGCATACTGTCGCGCACGTGAAAATGCGACAGCGAAACGGAGGACGTGTTCTGTCTCTTTCGACGATGCTTCCTCATTGCTTCGATCGTTACTTTACGCGTCGGGAAATGATGCAGCACGATAAAATGAGCCGTTCCGTTCTTCTCACCAAACCGATTCCTGGTGATTAGTATCTAATGACACGTCTTGTGCGCGTACGTAGTTCGTAGATTGTTCAGACTGACATATATGGTGTCACGTGACCGTGTTGAACGAGCTGTCACGAAGCGAGCGACATGTTTTGTTGTATTAATTTACAATTAATTTCTTTTTCCATTTTCAATTCTATTCAATTTGGTATAATACTAGTACATAATTCATTCCAATTATATTAAAAATATTTTCGTGCGAGATGATTTTAAATATTAAGAATTTTAATCTTTGAAATTAATTTTTCTCTGAATTTTAATTAACCGGTAGAGTTTTATAAAATTTTATATCGTTCAAGAAAGGAGTTTCTTTTTAATTTAGCATGATATTTATACGCAATTTAAATATAATTATTGTATGAATTAATAATATTTTTATGTAAAATGATATTACTTTTAAATATTAAAAATCTGTATTTTTGTAACTTTGCTCTTTTTTTTCTTAGTTTTAAATGTGATACTCCGAGGATGTTTATTTCTTGTATCATCTTGGGCACTAAGGTTATATTTAATAATCCAGTTATCACGGAATTTGCGAATTATACATTGAACAAGTAAATTGGAAAATGTATTTTTGATTGCATAACGTTGCCCGACAATGAGAGATATTAGAATTTTTATGAATCGTTTGATCTCGTACGACCTCTTGCAATTACTTCAAAGAATCTTCTTTCAGGTTTAAAAATATTCTTCGCCATTTTGTAATGTTGTCGAATATTTTTAGTACGCGTCTGTTGTTATAACATTTCATAATGTTGTTAAATAATATACAGTGTAAATGTCTGCAATGTGATATTTTTCCTTGAATATAATATTTAAATAAAATTCGAGATGTCACTTGACACTAGAACCGTTTCATTCGACAGGTAAAAACGAGAAATCGCGTAATTCTGTTTTTAAGTATTAATGCTAATTACCATTTAGCCGATTAACATTAGCCGAATGAAATGGAACATTTTAATACGCTCCTGGAAATCACGATATTTTGCGAATTCTTTCATCAGTTGTACGATCATGATTTAATTGTCATTTTACTTAATTATAACGGAAAGAAAAATCATTATTATTATTGTACTCTTTAAAATAAATTATAACGCGTAACTTCCCAATTTGGAATTAATGTACAAAATTTAGGGTTTAATATAAATCCCTATGTAACGAAATACAATACAATAAATTTCAAACATTTAATTTAATCCTATACAATTTTAATATTTTAATTTTTGATTTATAAACACCGAATTATAATTTGTCAGAATTTATTTACGTATAATAAATATGTATCATTTGTATAGTTTATATATATTATTAAAACTGCTTTTGGATTAAATATCTTAATCTTGGATTGTGCGCAAAATTAAATATTACAGAATAATTAATCTTAACCCCTTTTTGTATACATCTATAATTTTATTAGATTTCCTAATTTATAAGAACCGAATTATAATTTATGTATCGTTTACTCTACTATATATATCGTTAAAATTGTTTTTAAATTAAATATCCCATCCACGGATTATACACGAAACTAAATGTTATAGTATAATTAATCTTAACCCTTCCATCCTGTACACTTTTAATTTTATTAAATATCCTAAAATTATAATTTATCTCAGTTGATCTATGAATAAATACATATACCCAATTTACTTATCCAATTTACTTCAACCTAACCCAATTTCCCATTAACTCCTTGCACTACAATAAGAAAACTAACTCGTGAGTTTCTCATACTAAACCCCATAAAGATCCTAAAAATTGTTCTAATTTTACAAATAAAATAGGTACATAGTACCTGATTAAAATGAAATAATTTTACAAAACACAGTTCCTCGTAATTAAATCACAATACAAGCACTAAATAATAAATGAGCATTAAATAAGAAATCGCATAATAATTAACACGTAGAATTATTTAATTTCGATACCTCCTGCACTGTTACGTTATTTTAAATTTGGTATGTTAATTAATATCGAGCTTCGAAATTTTATAAAATGGCGACTGAAAGGCGCCTCTCGAGTGCAAAGGGTTAATTATTAAACAATTTCTTATTTACTGCTGGAAAAAATATCGTCAGTTTTATAGCAGAAAATCTTTGAACTTCTACTCATCTTTAGCCAAAAAATCAAAGGGTTAATCAAAGCTTGCGTGTATCCAAGAAATTCGCCCGTTTCTACGCCTAAAACCCCGTATTAAAGGCGAACCTCTAAAACGCGAGGTACAGTTGTCGGTTTTAATCCCATCTCGGTTAAATCTTACCGGTTTCTCGTGTATTAGCTCGGGCACTCTCGGTTGGAGCGTCGTCGACCACGGTGTGCAGCACACTTTTCAAGTGTACGCCCCGATGGGAAAGTAAAGATTTCAGTTAGGTTTACGGTGCCTTGACCATGCTTGGATCAGGTTCAACGCGTTCTCGAAACTCATCGGTGAAAAATTCGTGCGCACCTTGAGCGACCATCGGCTTCGTCACTCGGAAATAAACACACTGGCCCAATATCTGTCTTCGCTGTTTTCGTCTCTCTGTTTTCTCTTATTTTCTTACGCGTCGAGGTAAACGTTTTCTCGTTGGCCAGTGGACTCCAGTTAAACTCGATTAACGTTCCGAGTTATCGCTGTTCGAGTGAAAGACACTCGGTAGATCGATGCTGCTCGCTCGCGAGTCGCAACTGTATCGGCTTTAAGTCCATAGACATTAAACTTTCCTTCGGGTTTGTATGTCCGAGACCCGATCCTGTCTCCGCGGCCATTGCTGGCAGAAAATTATATTTTAATTCCTCAAGTATAATTTCTTATACCTCTTTCGTTGCTACTTTCTGTATTATTATTGCGTTTCACTCCAACGTTTTATTTCTTCTTCTTTTTGTATCTTGGATATTATTTTTGGATAATGATTGGAATTAGTTGCGGTAATTTGTCAGAGAATTTATAAATTTTCTGTCATTTTATCTATGTAAATATTTTTTATTTTGCTTGTGTAACTTATTTTTGTGACCTATTGTGGATGTGGTTTGAGAAAGTTGGGGATGGAATTCGTTGTTTGGCAATTTGTAAGTTAGTTAACGAGGTTACTTCGTATGCTTTTAAAGATTATACTTATGGTACCGTTGCGTCATATTTTCGCGGAAAGTAAATAGGAGGAAGTTGGGAGATTTCTATCTCGCCTGATCAGTTGCAAGATTTAGTAAAAGGACTTGGCGAGGCTCGTGGCGAAATACGAACGAAAATAGGAATTTTCAGAAGACCTACATACTTCTTTGCGTTGACGAGTTGAAAACCGCATCGAAGTGAAAGGAAATCACACGGAACATCTGTCGTAAAGTAACAAAGAAAGCCATTCATATCTCGATAAGAATAGGTTTTAAGAATATGCGCTTATTAAGGTCTTCCTTTTATACTTTGATGGATATTACGTGCATTCTGCAACAGATTTTCAATTTATTACTTTTTCCTCCCCTAACCAACATTTATATGCGGTATTTAAATTTTTGTCATTTTTTCCTTTTATATATTTTATTTTTTAAGAACTTGAAGCACTCGAAGTATATTTTAGATTAATTTTGGAAAATTGAATTTAATTTTATATTTATCGAGGGAGAGAATATATATATATTTTTTAATAATATTTAAGAGTGATAAATTTCGATTTTGAAGTATTCACCCGCAACGTGGATTTTGATTTTCAATTTCCTTTCCCTGTCACAGAGATTCGAAACAGTCTATTTATAGGAACCGTCGATTCCAAATTTTCAGATCACATTTCTTTTGCTGGCAAACAAGATTCTTGTCACACAGGGTTAAATACCGTGAGATCGTGTTGTGTCTATGTAA